TTCTTCCTGGCCTGGTTGATCACTGAACCCATTCACTTGGACAAGGTATTTAATCCAGAGGTGAGAACATCCAAGCAATTATAATTCTTCCCTGGGATTCATGTGTGGAAGTTGGGGTTGCCAACCTAGGAAGATGTTAAGTTGGTGCTGCTGGCAGCTACTCTTGCTACCTGGGAGAAGGTGTGTCTTCAATTAAAAAGGATAAAGCTGAACAGAGATGAGAGGTGGCAAGACAGAGAGCTGAATCATTAAGGTCCTGGTTTCTAGAGCTTTTCATTTGGTTCTGGGAATGACTTTGGTGTCTTTTCTGCCACTATCAGGCAGAAAACAAACTATCTTAAGTTATATGTAATTGTTTTAAAACTTGCAACCAGGAAAGTCCTAACTAATTCAGTTCCTGTAACTGTAGATAAGGCATTTACCAACCACCAATGAAGAGCATTCTCAGTAGATATGGTTAAAAGACTCAACTGACAATAATAACATAAAGCTATGAAAGTGAGGCAACATACATATTCTGCAGAATATTTTGGAAATTAAGCATTTTAATTTCTTTTGGTAACCAGTTAATATTTGAAGAATCTAGGCTCACTAGAATCTAGAATGTAGGTATTTCCCAAGTGTAGTACAATACACTAGTATTTCACATGAGGATGCACTAGTCTAAAATACAAGTGGGTGGGATGAGGAAGTGAGGAAGAGGTAAGAACATAACAGTCCTGGATTGATCATGATTTCTCAGGAATTAAACAAAATGTGGGAAAGAGGAGTTGAGAGATATAAGAACTAGTGGCTGGGGAGAGGGTGTAGCTCAGTGGTGGAGTGCCTGCTCAGCAAGTCGAAGGTCCTAGGTTCAATTCCCAGTGCCTCTTTAAAAAAAATGAATTAAATAAATAAATTTAATTGCCTCCCCTTCCCTCTCCCACCAGAAACAACTAATGGCTGTCACATTTCTGTACTTTTTAAAAAATATTTTTGTAATATATTAGATTGCTTGTAGTTGTCTACAGTTCCATTGTTTTTAAAGAAGTAAAAAGTGTTAACAGATGAACAGAAAAGCTCTGGGGCATAACATGGTTACCTTAGTGTTTTTAACTGTATTAACATTCTATCTGGATCGATTGAATTAATCACAGTTAATTCTGTTAATGGGAATTGGGAAGTGGGATTAACTTGATTTAAAAAAGGCTTGAATTTATTATATTATTGTCAAATAAATAGTATAAGTTTGAAGGCATCCCAGCCCCAAATTTCCTCTTGCAGGCATTTTTGAAAAATGGAAATATTTACATTAAAAATATTAACATTCTGTTAGAGAAAAGTGAAATGAAGACAAAATGCCTTAGAACTTTAATCTTAATAAAGCATATATTCATCATGATAGCTGTATATATATATATTTTAATATAATAATGTAAAATCTAGATTAGAGATATGAAAATGACATGACAGAAAAGTTTTACAAGAAAAGTGATTTTATTAAGGCAAACAATAAGGCTATTAATGTCACACGTTAATATTTTATTTTAAATAATTGTGTGATTATCCTTTTAGTAACATATGAATTCCCTAGCACTTTTGTTTTATAACTTCATTCTTAAGAATTCAAGTGGCTTGTTTTCTTTTATTTCCCTTAATTGTGGTGATCTTAAACAGATCTTTAGTTTTAAATCTGCCAGTTGTTCTAATATAGAAGCATAAATATATTTTCTCCAGTTGGCTGTTTATTACAAAGACAGCTTGTTTGTGGGTACCATCAAGACATCTGCATTTTATTGGATTTAATTTTTAGTAATAAAGACCTCCCACATTACAGATTCTTTCCAGCCCAAATTAGCCTGCGTGGGAAGCAAAGAACCGTCAGTAAGGGAGAAAAAGTGAATCCATATGGTGCAGATGATTCTGTTTCCCGGGCTACGATGAAGAAAGGGTTGATTATAGACGGTTCCCCCAGCAGATCCTTGTTTTTTTCTCCAAAATGTCTAGAACAGTATTGGTGTCAGTCCTAACCCAGTATCTTTTGGCGAGCCCAGTTCATACAGGTGCCATGCATCAAGTCATAGATGCCTAACTGAAATTTTGAGGGCGAATTCTCCTTTTCCTCTAATCTTGCTCCATTTCTTTTACATATGAGGCCAGTCCCTAGCCCTTGCCATTCTCTTCCATTTTGGGGCTCACCTCTGCCCTTTGGACTTGTTTTGTTTTTGCCAGTCCAGTCCTCAGTACTCTGTAAGGACTTTGGTTTGGGTTCCTACACAAGGTCTATAATCTAGTAACAGAAATTAAAAAAACACTACTTGTGTCAAAAAGCAGTCAAGATATTCTATCTTCAGCTTTTTAAAGGTGATCAACCAAATTTGGCATAGAACTTGAATAGATGATGGATCTTCTTCACTTTTACAAGTTGTAGATAATTCTCTGCTGTGCAGAGCACAGACAGGAACTTAAAGCTTTTCTTTCAATTGACACCAAAGTACCCAGAATAGTTCATTTCTTTTGGTCAATGTCATCCATGCGGTGAGGAGGAGGAATAGCATACACTTTACTATCAGTGTTACCTCCCTCAGGATGAGAGAAAAACTATTACTTCTGCTTCTTGGCAACTCTGAATCTCAGTCAGTGAGAAGATGCTGCTTCTTAAACACTGCTATGTTTATGTCCACGTGAGTTTTTGGGTAAACTTAAATTTCATTTAACAAGTTTCCTAGTTGCAGAGAGTGATACAAGTATTGATGACTTATGCTTTAAAAACTTATTATCTAATGTAGTGGGTAGAATTGTGTCCCCCACCCCTCCAATAAGATAGGTACAAATTTCTAACTCTTGGTACCTGTGAATGTGACTTTATTTGGAAATAGGGTCTTTGCAGATGAAATTAATTTAAGATGAAGTCATACTGGATTAGGGTAGGCCCTAATCCAATGACTGGTGCCCTTATAAGAAAAGGGAAATATGGACACATAGACACACAGGGAGAGTGTCACACGATGATGGAGGCAGAGATTTGAGTGATGTGTCTGTATGCCAAAGAAAGCCAAGGATTGCTGGAAACCCTCCCAAAACAACAAAGAGGCAGGGAAGAACTCTTCCCTGCAGCCTGGAGAGAAAGCATGGCGCTGTTGACACCTTGATTTCATACTTCTAGCCTCCACATTTTTGAGAGAATAAATTTCTATTGTTTTTAGCCCTCAGTTTGTGCTTACCTGGTATGAAACAAATACACTAGTTAAGGAGGCAGAAATATAAACAATAAACTATAATAGAGTTTTAGAGAGCAAAGGAAGCATAGAGAAAGGAGACAGCTTTCTAAATGTTCTGGGTTATAATTCTTAGAACATCAGGTTTTTAATTTACTGTGTGATTCTATTTTTTTAAATTGAGGTATGATTGACATACAACATTGTATTAGTTTCAGATGTACAGCATAATGATTTGATATTTGTATATGTTGTGAAATGATTACCGCAGTAAGTCTAGTTAACATCTGTCACTATACACAGTTCCAGATATTTTTTTTCTTGTGATGTGAACTTTTAAGATTTACTCTCATAGCAACTTTAAATATGCAATCCAGTATTATTAACTATAGTTGCCTGTACATTATATCCCAATGAATTATTTTATAATTGGATGTTTATACCTTTTGACTCCCTTTACCCATTTTACCCAGATCTTACACCCTACCTCTGGCAACCACCAATTTGTTCTCTGTATCTATGAACTCTTTTCTACTTAATTTTTTTTTAGATTTCACACATAAATGAGATCATATGGTATTTGTCTTCCTCTGACTTATTTAATTTAGCATAATGCCCTCAAGGTCTATCCATGTTGTTGCAAATGGAAAGATTTCATTCTTTCCTATGTCTGCATAATATTCTATTGTATGTATATATACCACATCTTCTTTATCCATTCATCTGTTGATGGGCACTTAGGTTGTTTCCAAATCTTGGCTATTGTAAGTAAGGCTGAAAACATGGGGGTGCATATATCCTTTTGAGTTAGTGTTTTGTTTTCTTCAAATAAATAGCCACGAGTGGAATTGCTGGTGTATGACACCACCTTACATTCCCATCTGCAGTGCACAAGTTTCCCTTTTCTCCACATCCTCGCCAACACTTCTCTCTTGCCTTGTTGATGACAGCCATTCTAACAGGTGTGAGGTATATCTCATTGTAGTTTTGGTTTGCTTTTCCCTGATAATTAGTGATGCTGAGCATCTTTTCATGTTGTCCATCTGTATATCTTCTTTGGAAAAAAGACTGTTCAAGTGGTCTGCCCATTTTTAAATTATTTTTTTTTGATATTGAGTTGTATCAGTTCTTTATATATTACAGCTATTAACCTCTTAACAGATATATGATTTGCAAATATTTTCCTCCATTCAGTATGTTTCCGTTTCATTTTGTTGATGATTTCCCTTGCTGGGCAGAAGCTTCTTCGGTTGATGTAAACCCATTTATTTATGTACGCTTTTGTTGCTTTTGCTTTTGGTATCAAATCCAAAAAAAATCATTACCAACGCTGATGTGAAGTTGCTTATTGCTAATGTTTTCTCCTAGGAGATATATGGTTTCAGGTCTTATATTCAAGTCTTTAGGGTGTAAGATAAACTACAGGGATGTATTGCACAACAAGAGGAATATAGCCAATATTTTGTGGAAACTGTAAATGGAGTGTAGCCTTTACAAATTGTATAAAAAATAAAATTAAAAAATGACCAACCTGTAGAATCAAAAGCAAATAAATTCTTGTTAGAAATCACTAAAAAAAAAAGTTACTTGCATACAAAATTCTCACTTACAAAGGAAACTAAAAATTTCTGGGGTACGGCCGCCCGCCCCCTAGGCTGGAGCTCGGAGTCGGGAACCAATCTGCTTCCTCCCTCCTCCACCCCGGGGGCCCCCAGCAGCGGCGAGCCTGGGCCTGGAAGGCTGGGAGGAGGCAGGAGGCGGAGCGGACGGAAGTGCTGGCGCGCCGCTGTCAGCTGCGCCGGAAGTTCTTGGAGGGGCCTGGCGGTAACCTTGGGGTCTTTGCCGCTGCCGCCGCTGCCGCCGCTGCCGCCGGAGTGGGCTTTGCGAGTCAGCGCCCCAGCCGGGCCAGACCTGTTAGGTGCCAGGAGCCGCCGGGGTTGCGCAGGAGTTCGCCGAGGATCGCGGTGAGCGGGAACCGCGGGCGCAGGGCCGCCCAGCCGACATGTCTCTAGTGGCAGAAGCCTTCGTCTCCCAGATCGCAGGTAGCGTGCTTGGCGGCGGACCCGGACGGAGGCGGGGGCGGCATGGGGCAGTCGTGGGGAGCAGCGTGGGCTTTAGAACCGCAGCTTTCCTCCAGATTTGAAGCATTAGACGCTGAACCCAGGCCTGGGGACGGAGGCGGCACTGACTGCCAGCCTCTTCTCATGGTTGAGAAAACTGAGGGGAAGAAACTTGGCCAAGGTCACCACGCAGAGGCCGGAGTCCCATCTGTTTTTCTTGGGCAATGCTTTGTCTCGCTGCCTTTTGGGTTCGAAGGTGATGGGGTGCGTGAAGGCCGTGGATTGGGATTGAGGTGGGGGGCGTGGTCACAGGGGCCGGGCCTACACAGGCTTCAGGGTTAAGTGTGGGGACAGTCCCAGGTGTGGGACCTGAAGTTTAAGGTGATTGTCACCAGTGAGTCGCTGTCGTCACTGAGGGGCCGCAGAAGTTTCCGCTCCGTGCAACAATACTGCCATTTTCTAGGTCACTAGGATTCATTCACATACTTTTAAATCTCCATAAATTGTTGGGAACACCTTTGATTTGACGGACAGAACATGTCTGATGTAAATAGGTTTATAATATATTTTCTGTTTGAGGTTCTTAGTTACTGTAGTGAAAGAAATTGAGAAATATTGTTGAGAAAGTGAGACTAGACATAGCTATTGTAGGTGTGGGTTGATGAGTGATAATCTTTAAATGGAGTTAAACTTCCCAGTAGTATTTTCACTGAGTACAGTAAAAATTCAGTCACCAGGATAAATAGGTACATTTACAATAAGGTAGTATTTTTGCAATGGAAAAGTACCGAATGGGCCATAAAATTTGCCAAAATGTTTTTCATTGCATTTGTGTGAACATACTTTTTTCCCTTTTTTCACTTAAAATAAATACATTGTTTTCTAAAAGAGAGAGAAGCTCCCACTAGATTGCAATTTTCATGAAAGCAGGGATCATAATTGTTTTGTCTCCCATTGTATCCTGAGGACCTGTCATTTGGTGCTCAATAAATATTTGTGATCTGAATAAATGAATAATCTTGAGATTTCAATGATTATTTATATTTTTACCATTTATGTTTTAAAAAAATCATTAATTTAGATTGCTGCTATGTTAAAAAAATTTCACAGTGTATGCTGATATTGATATCATCACAGTGTATACATGTTCCCTAATGTGTGATTTCTTGTAAAGAGAAAATGATGAATGTCTTTTACTAAACTTTTAATAAGTTTGGAACTTTGCTTCAGTTAGTGAAATACAAGAATTTCTAAGAATTTTGTTAGTCTGCCATCTTAGCTTTTTGGAGTAATCCAAATTGTAATAAAATAATTAGGAAAAAATATAGGAGATACAGCATAGGAAGCCCAAGCAAGACACAGAATCCAGAAATCATAGGAGAAGAAATGGGCAGATTTTATTGCAGATAAGTTTTAAAAGCTTTGTATGATGAGACATAAGTTTCTACAAATTAATAAGAAAAAGACAACGCAACAGAATCAAAGATAAAGGACACGAACAGGCAATTCACAAAATGGGAAAATGCAAATCATCAGTGAACTTAGGAACAGATGCTCTCCATCGCTAATTTCCACCTTGTCAGTTGGGCAAAAATGAGTATGATAATTTCTAGTACTGACAGCCGCATGGAGAAAACAGTTATCTCAAAGTATTGGTGAGTCTGTAAATTATCACTACTTTTTGGGAACTTAACATAGCAACATTTATTTAAATGCTATTAATAGACCCAGAAATTTCTTTTCATGGGATTTATCTGATAGAAACATAAGGACCAGTATTTAGAGAAATATATAACAATAATAATTGTAGTGATATTTGTAATAGCAAAAACCCAAGAATGTCTAGATACATATTTAATAGAAACCCACATTATTATAGATACAAAAAAGAAGTATATCTGTTAAATATATTGGCTTGAAAACTCTGATTATCTTAAGAAGAAACAAGTTATAGAATAATATGTGTATTGAATATGTAATGTATGTAATGAACCCATTGTTATTAAATAAATAAGCCTTGTATAAACTTGTATATGTTTATGTAAACAAAGAAAAACATAGAAGAATATTCAACTAATTTTAACTAATAATTTCAGGGTAATAAGGATAGTGTGTTGGTGGAGTGAGACTATTTTACTAATGAATTTAATTGGTTGTAATTTTAAAAATTTCAAAGATTGTATTTTGGCAACAGCAAAAAAAAAGGTGGCTAAAACAATAATTTATATGACACCTTGTATTTGACTTGTAAGTGACTTGTAAGTATGACTTAAATCCAACAACTATTCACAGTATCCTACTTCTGGTAGTAATATGGTTTTCTTGGAAGATATCAACCTAAAGAGATTAGAGACACATATTTTTATGGTCCTATTTTAAGTTAATAAGTAAATGTAAATTTTTTTTTGTGGTTGAGAGCTGTATTTTTTTAATGTATTTAACACTTTGCTTGTTATTCTTTATTTCAACGGGTCACCACACTGATATTTCTTTTGGAAACATTTAAAGGCACCTTACATCCATTTGTGATATTCATGAAGTGCCCTCCTTGAGAGCCTCATTCATAAGCACATCTTTTTGGAAGCCTTCTCTGAACTCCCTTTAAAGGAACCACTTCTCTCTCTTTCCTACTAGTATATCCCTCACCAAGTTCTTTCAGTTCTTACTCTTCACTATGACTTAGTGGCTGCTCTATCCACCTCCACTGCTATATTATTACCTTAGTTTAGGGCTTTGTTATTTCTTGCTTGGATTAGTACAGTTGTCTCTGAATGGATTTCCCTGCTTTTAGTCTGGTATCCTTCTAATACAGTCTCTACACTGCAAACCTCAGTGGGTTTTTGTTTGTTGGTGTTGTTTTGTTCTTATTTTCCTGAAATGCAGATGTGATTCCTCTTGTTTTAATGCCATCATTGGTTCCCCATTGTCAGTAGATGGAGTGAGGCATACAACACCCTCCATAAGTTAGTCTGAGTCTGTCTCTCCAGCCTCATCTCTTGTCACTCTTTCCCTTCATTGCTCGCCTTTCTGAATTATTTGTAGTGTCCATCTTTGACAAATGTTGCCTTCTGCCTGAACTGTACACTTTGCTTGGATAACTACTGTCTGTCCTTTAAGACTCAGCACATTTTAGCCTGTAAGTCTACCTGACATTTTTTCCTAAAAATCACCTAAAATTATAAGGTTAAAACCCCATCCTTAACATTAAAACTTTGGTGAACAAAGCTACCTCTTGTACTCTCCCTAAAAATTAAAAAAAAAATTGACATATAGTACATAACATGCATACTTTTCTGGTAATCTGTTTTGTCATACAACATATTGAGATCTCTTTCCATGTCTGTGAATGGAGTGACATAGATTTCATCATTGTTAATGGTTGTGTAGTATTTCGTTGTAACGAAGAAATCATAATTAGCTTATTGAGTCTTATTCTGATGAGTACTTGGAGTGTTGTATTTGTTCAACCTGAGAAACAGAAGTGGTAGGAGCTCTAGCTCTAGTTCTGGCTCTGCATGGAATTGGCAAATGCTAAGTCCACAGGGCAGACAGCCATGAGGGAGAGATCCTGGAGGAAGAGAGAGCAGTGCAGCCTGATCTCAGGGAGGACTTAGGCCCTCTGTTAAATCAGGCCCACCCAGGACAATCTCCTTTTTGATAAACATAAAGTCAGTGATCAAGGACTTTAGTTATATCAGCAAAAACCCTTCACAGCAGGGCCTAGAGTAGCACTTGAATATCTGGGAGGTGTTTGCTACGTAATAGCTATTCTCTCTCTCTTCTGTTTTCCCATCACCTGCTGGTGGATAGCCCTTGTAGGGCACCCTAATCAGAAACATAGTAGAAAGGGAATTCTGGCAAATGTAGTTCAGTCTAGTCAGGTTGATGCACCTCAAATCCATCTTAGGTATATATGAGTTTTCTCTGCTCTAAACAGTGCTTGCATATACATAGTTGTGTATCTAACTGAGTAGTTTCCTTGGATAAATTTCTTTAAGTGGGAGAGAATTTTGAATCTTTCTTTAAACTCAGTAATATGGAAGGAATGGTAAATTATGACTTTGAATTAATAGCTTGGATCTCTAGATAATGATATGCTAGTTTAAGAACTTTAAAAGAAGGATGAAAATAGTCCTGATATTGAGCGGTTTCTGAGCTCTTTTATAACAGCCTGTGTATTTTATTTATTTTAAAAAATTTTTATTTTATTGAGTTATAGTCAGTTTACAATGTTGTGTCGATTTCCAATGTAGAGCTCAATTTTTCAGTCAAACATGAAGATACCTATATTTCTTGTCACATTCTTTTTCACCATGAGCTACCACAAGATCTTGTATATATTTCCCTGTGCTATACAGTATAAACTTGTTTATCTATTCTATCTATACCTATCAGTATCTACAAATTTCGAACTCCCAGTCTGTCCCTCCTCCTGGCAACCACAAGTTTGTATTAGCCTGTGTATTTTAAATTTTCTTAGAACTTGCTTGTTTTTTTAAATAGAAAGATTTTCCAATACATTGAGTTTCAGGTTAAAAAATATATTTTTTTAAACAGTCAGTTAGGTATGAACATATCCCCCGGGAGTACTGAGTATTCCCATTTGGGTTGTCAGTTTGGCATTTGTAGTAGTCATTGTAGCCAAAAGGGTGGAGTACTGTGACGGACAGGTCTGACTCACTTGCCCATCTTTTACAAGTAGTGGCTCCAGCCTTTAGGGCTCCACAGTGCCACCAGATAGCCCCAAAAGGCAGGAGAGGTGCTGAGTGCCCAACAGCAGGAATCTCCTACAGTGCTGTTCACTTCCTTCACCTTGCTTTTATGCTTCCTGTGGACTTTGAAGTTAGATTCAGACCTGGGTTCTTATTCGGCTACTTGCTAAATGTGTGACTTTGGCCAAATTCCTTGCCTTTTTTAAGCCTCTGGGGTCTCATATGCAAAATGATAAAGATAATTATAGATTATTTAAGGATTAGATGAGA